AAAAAAAAAAAAAAAAAAAAGCAGCAAGGCTGAGACGTGCTGGGAATGCAATGAGCCCCTCAATGCTCTTCTTTAGGATGCAGAGCCGCTGCTCGGCACGCTCGGAGGAGGAGGAGGAGGAGGAGGAGGGCGGCGAGGGGCCGCTGCTGCTGCAGCCTCCGCGCCGCCGCCCCCGGCCCCGGCCCCGGCCCCGGCCCCGGCCCCGCGGGGATGGGCGCGGAGCGCGGAGCTGGGGCTGCTCCGCCTGTTGTGCGCGGGCGCGCGGGCGTGTGTGTGCGTGCGTGTGTGTGTGTGTGTGTGTGTGCGCGGGGCTGTTCTTGCCCTGGATCAGCCTTTTTTTTTTTTTTCCCCCACGTCATGAATATGAGCTTCGAGAAGGGGAGCAAATGAAGGGGGCGCGCTTGGCAGCGCCAGGTCGGGGGCGCGCATTTGGGAAGCCCTGACTATACATTTTTTTCCTCSCCCTCCCACCGTTCCCCCGCCTTTTTATTTTATTTTTTATTTTTTTTTAAGAGGGAAGGAGGGGGCTGCTTCGCGGCGAGGAAGTGGGAGATGAGCAGACGGGGGAGGGAAAAGGAAAAAAAACCGAGAGGATCAGGGAGGAAGGAGCCGCTGGGATGGGTCATCATTTGCCGCCCCCCTCTGCTCACCACCCCCAAAAAAAAAAAAAAAATCATTCCCAAATCCAAGGAAACAGAGACGCGCGGGCTGCAAACTGCGCCGGCGGCAGCGCGGTCGCGGAAAGGGCCGCGCATCCCGCCCATTCCCGGCCTCCCTCCTGCCGTCCCGGGATGCTGCAGCCGGAGGGTGCGCGGGCGCGGAGGGCAGCGCCGGGAGCCGCCGCAGGTACCGGGGCTGCGCGGCGCGAGCGGGGCGCGCAGCGGAGAGGGGGGATGCGCGAGTCTTGCGCGGCTTCGACCCCGCGCAAAGTTGCGCCTCGGTCGCGAGAAGATGCTGCGGGAGGGGGGGGGGGGCACCTCGAGGTCGCGTCCCCCTTTTTCCCACCCCCCAGCCCCTCCGCGCGCACCCCGCGCCCGTGCGCGCGAATCGCGGCGCATCCCCGCGCTGCGCGCACCGCGGAAAGCGGCTGCGCCCTCTACCTCCCCGCGCCTCTTCTTCGCAAACGCTGAAAGAAAATTTAAAATAAAATAAAATAAAAATCCAAAGTTGGGAGGCAAAGGCGGGCGGCGCCGCGCCGGCCCCGACGGCTCCCGCGGGCGGCCGCGCTCGCTGCGCGCTCCCCGGCCCCAGGGGCCGCGCAACGCGGACGCGCCGCTAGTTAAAGCGCTGCCTCATTTGCTGGGGCGGGGGCAGCGCGGGGGGTCCCGAGGCTAAGGGCACCTTGCAGCGCCCCCCCCCCCCCAAAAAAAACCCAAAATCCCTCCGCGAAAGGCGCAACCCGCGCGCTCGGGACAAGTGACAGGGCAGGGGCGGCTACAGGATCGCGCGGGAAACGCTGCAAACGCCGCGTCTGTCCCCAAGGACACCCGGCCCCGCTGTCCCCGGGTATCACCCTGCAGCCCCCTCTCCCCTACCCACTCCCCCCATCATCCTGTAGGCACCGCGGGTGTGCAGAAGGGACAGGAAAGCACCCCAGGGTGCTGGCGCTGCCTGGATCCGTCCCCGCACTGAGACCGTGTCCCCCGGTCCCAACATGTCCCCGGGGTCCTCCCGGGCCCCTCGTGTCTCCCCTGTCCCCGCATGAGCCCTCGGCAGACCCTGCTGGCAACGGGCTCCGGGCGAGCGGGACCGGCGGAGGGCACGGCGGGCTGATGTAACCGGCATTGGGACGTCACCCGGTTATTAATAATAATTATTATTATTGGCAAGCGAACTGTTTCCTTGCAAAGCTCCGTCCTGGAGCTGTGGAGCCCTGCAAGATGCATGTCCTGCGGGATGGGAACCGGGCAGTGCCCTGCTGCCTCTTCCCAGCCTCGGTGGCGATGACTAAAATTCACTTTGCTCCCCCGCCTCAGAACGATCTTGCAAAAATAAGGGAGAAAAAAACTTTCTTTTTGTGACGAATTAGACAAGGATACTTGAGCAGTTATTGCACCTTTCCGGGAGCATCACGAGGGCTCCACACTCGCACCAGAGGCGACGTTCCCCCCACTGCAGTCGTTGCCACGCAGTCATTTAACGCTCCATTCAATGCGCAGCGTAAACCAGCTCATTCCCTCCTAACAGACGTGGCAGCGGTGGAGAGGAAGAGGCAGTTTCCTCCTGAAGCCCTCGCCGCCTGCCTAGAAAGAAATATTCCCGTCTTTAGCGGGCTCTTCCATCTCAAGCAACCCACGGTAAGAGCAAGAGCAATAAATAGTGCAAGGACGAGGGGAACTCTGCTGTAGTTACTACAGATGCTTTCTGGCTTTCTCTGGGCTTTGCTAGGGCTGGAGCAGCTCGGAGGGTCTGGACGGGGCGCGCTGAGCTCGCGGACGGTACCGAGTGGAGGGCTAYGGAAAGGACAAGGTGGGAATTGCTYCAAGCGGAGGGTTGGGTTCGAGCAGGGCCCCATGGAGGAGAAACCCCATGAACAGCCCCAGGACCCCCATGAGATTTCCATTTCATGGTAGGTTCAGATAAATATATTCAAAACTCAGACCACCCTCTTTTTTTCTTTTCTTTCTTTTTTTTTTTCCTTTTTTTTTCCCCCCCTTTTTTTTTTTTAAGGAAAGAAAGAGCTTTCAGATGCTATTTGCTTTGCATCCTATCCATTGCTCAAACCGAGAAATTTTAGTGTCTTGGAGAATGTGAGTAGARGAAAAGCAGAGCAGACAGTCTCCTTTGCATAGCAGCCAGTAAAACAGGGAGAAACCTGCTGTGTTTTTCCCTCCCTCTCTCCCCATCCATGTATCAGACCCAAAGATTAGGAAACAGTGGAGTCAAGCAGAATTTCTCCAACCTTCTGCTCCATGAGGGAACTTTTCCTGGTAGAGTAGAGTAGAGTTGAGTTGAGTTGAGTAGAGTTGAGTTGAGTTGAGTTGAGTTGAGTTGTGTTGTGTTGTCCCCATCCAGCTGCAGCAGCCACCACCTCTCACGCTCTTTTATCACCAGCTCAGGTGCATCCAAAGTGAGCACAGGTGGGGTGCAGAGGACTGACCTGGTCCTCACATGTCACGGAGGAAATTTTAAAGTGGGATTTCCGGKGAGCCAGAGGATCCTTGTTAGGTCAAATTGACATTTCTGGCCTCAATTTTACTTCATTATCTGTTATATATTGTATGATCAGTTGTGTATACACCTGGGCAACAGCAGCTGATTGCTCCCAGGGCATGTTCACTCTAACTGGTGCATACAGTATATGGTTTTTATAAGAAAACATGAAATAAGAACACGCTGAGTTAACTTATCACCCAGTACTACCAAAGTAAAAGTCCTCATCTACTTTAAACCCACTATGGGGACACTGATGTTGTGCAGAAGCTCTAGCTATGCACGCAGTAACAAACTATATGTAATTGGTTTTTCCTCATAGGATTTCTTGCAGTAGAGAAATTTTGCCCAGTATTTGATAATATGTATAAATATGGAAAGCAAAAGAGGAAAGAACTAATGGATAGTGTTAAAGTAGAATGGCAGCACACCAGCAAATCATGAGTGCAATATTTTTTAATGGATTGCTATTAAAAATAAAAGAGAAAATAGGCAAAATAAAAGGGAGCTTTTAAYGGACAAAACTGACAGTTCTTTTATCCTCACCCAATCCTGACATTTCAAAATCATTTTTTTATCTAATGATTCAACAACCTTACATTTTCCTTCTAGTAAATCAGGCACAGCTATAGCTATTTTTCCACCTCAGACACGTAAGTCCACACTTTTTTTTTTTTTTTTCCCTAAAGGTACTGATATTTATTATAGCCAGTGTCAAGAAAACTTCTCACTCCACTTATATACGAGCTTCTCTTTGGCCTTTGCTGGCGTGATCTACAGCCGTGGTTAGGCATGCATCGCTTCCTCTGACAGCAGCCAGGGTTTCATGTGTGGATCAAGAGCAGAATAATTCCCTTGGGGCGATCTCTTCCCACCCAAACTATGGAGTTACGAGCTCTCTCTGTGGCAGTGCAGGAAGGTGCCTTCTCCCTGTGCTCCAGACAGGCAATTCTGCAAATTATAGCTTGAATTCTCTTAGGGGGAAGCTTTACTCCAGAATAATCATTCCGGATTATATTTTCCATGTATGCTTTGTGCACGTAAACATTTTCTTTTGCAATTACTAGCTTGCTTTTCTTTTCATCTCGTGGGCTAATCTTTTGAACAAACCGATACCTTTATTTTGTCTGGACACATGAAAATGGAGATTAACCTCCGGCACATGCTGTGAGCAACTGCACGGATTTTCAGGGCATGCGGATTTAGAGTTGCCAGAATTAGAAACATCAGCCCAGGGAGATCATGCCAGGGCAATTCCCCAGGCTGGGGCCACAACGCCGATCAATTTAAAATCTAATAGAGCCCRCTATTACTGCACTGACTTGTGTGTGAAGGAAGGCACTTACTGCTTATTTGGGAAGAAAAACCTCATATTCTAAATTGCTTTTTAGATCAGCCTTGAGCCTGCTTTTAGTCATGTCAACGGTGACACTTCCATTTATTCCAATGGTGACAATGTCTTCCTTTTAATGCTGGCTATGCTTCCTCCTTCTCCTCTGTCCCATTCCGTGCGCTGGACGTCAGCGTGGCTCTTGGCAGCTCTCGAGGACAGCTAAGGCACCGAGATGGATTTCATGTCCCAGTTGTGCGGCAGCACGGTGGGCAGGCGGTTTCATCTCAGAAGAAGCAGTYTAACCTTCCTGGAGGAGATGGTGGTGAGCACAACATCTCCTGCTCCTGCCAGCCTGGTTCCTTCCTTCTGCACCRCGTCTGCTGCCACCGCCGCTCCCGTGGACCCCAGACACGAACAAGGGGAGACCTTTCATGCCAAG